TTTAGCAATTCTTTCACCTTTATTTTATCAAAAAGCTTTTGAAATTTACAAAATCTTGCAAAAATGAAATATATCGGTAATTAGAAATCATTGAATCAAGAAATGTTTGCTATTTTGTTGTCGTCATGCAGTCGTCGTTATTATGCAAATTTTAAATTGGACCAATAAATGTTGGCTATTCATGATAGTCCGGCGAGTCCGCTATATTATGAGATGAGTGAGGATGACCACTCACCGAAACACCGACAGTCACCCACACCCGCGATTATTAATGAACTATACACTTCGCGAATGCTTTCTTTTTCCCGGGGATAAATAGCCAGGCGGTATTAATACCCTTGCACGGCGCTCCGCGCCGTTGGCTCGGGGATTAAACACATTCAGTTTCATAGCTGCATTCGAGGAGATCGATAGGAATGCAGCCAACTACGTTTCTAGCTCAAAGTCGTGAGTTAATTCTACATGTCTATTATAATAATTCTTTGTACAACTCCGGAGACTAATTTTGATTAAAAACCAATATCATCTTTCTTTCTTAACAGGAGCATATTAACTTACCAAGAGTGCATTTTGTCATCGGGACTTCTCCAAGTACACCACTACCTGAGACACCAGCTGTCGCTATCGATTCAACAAGTGTGAACATCAGCCAAAATGGGTTGTCAACAGTTGTTAAAGGAGGAGTTATTATAACAACGATAATTTGCCTCACTAAATATTTGACAAGAAAAGACGATAAGGGGGAATAGTGACAGTGGTGATTTGGCAACTGACAACGGCAAAGGCGATGGCGACGTGGTCACGACAATATAATTTTCACTGTAAGACAAAAGGAAACTATAAATTGTATTCCATTGAACATCGTAGTTTGCCGTAGTTGTTCAAACTACTATAAATAATTTACTTCTTTTTTGGGCTCATAACTACGCCAAAAGTTAAACCGTTCGAAATGGTAGCTAGGGGTGTTTTATATGAATTCACTGAATATTGCTACTGAAATCTATGAAACAGGCCTAACAAGTTTAAAGTTTCAGTATTGGTTAACTTGTATTCGTAGTTTTAAAATCTACTCGTTTCTCAATTTCAGTAAATTTTACTGACTAGTACTTTTATTCGTAACTATATTTTGTGTAATATATCTACTTTTCTATCTTTGAATGTAACTTTGATGTTAATCTATCTTAATTAATCATGCATGGAATAGGCCGTTTGCTGTGACCTCGAAAAGTGCCTAGAAAACGATTTTCATTAAGCATGTCTTGGAACTAAAATTTTTTATGGGAACTAGCATTTTCGAACACGCTGAGTTCAAATCCGAAAACTTCCCGCACGGCAGACCCGAAGTTTTCTCACAAACTACTTTTTTATCTTCGCTAATTTCACAACAAATTTTTTCATTGTTCAATGACACGGATGGATGGAGACGCACGATTGCATAACTCAAAATGACTAATACCTATGAACCAGTTTCTACATTGAACAAAAGACCGGTTTTGCTCGAATTATTTTGAGTTATGTAATTTTAAGCGTGTTGGACGTAAACAACATATCTTGTCTACAACTTTGGGAAGGTACCGATATCGCTTTGTAAAATCCTCAGTTCAGGCTGTATCTCCATAAAATCGACAATATTTTACTTTAGCGTTGTCTTTGCCGTTACGTTGGCTTCGCATTACTTTTGTTTTAAATACCTTGATCGCGTTAAATTAGGTCTATTTCAGAACAGTGATATAGCCAAAAGACTATAGCATTAACGTCCTTGTGATTTTACAGAGATATCGCTAGAACTGAGGATTTTAGAAGGCGTTATCTGTTTCTTCTCAAAGTTGTAGACAAGATATGTTGTTTACGTGCAACACGTGTAAGATTACATAACTCAAAATAATCCGGGCAAAACCGGTCTTTTGTTAAAAGGAAGACTGGTTTAATCGTGCGGCGTCATCGATCCGTGTCCTTGTGAAATTAGCGAAGATAAAATAGCGTTTTGTGAGAAAACTGCGGGTTTACGGCGCGGGAAGTTTTCGGATTCGAACCCAGCTTGCTTGAAAGTGTTAGTTTTCGTAAATATATTTTAGTTCCACATAATGATGAAAGTGAACGATATCAGGACGCAGCGAACGGTCTAGAAAACACTTTCAATTGATACATGTTAATAATAATAATTAATACTAATAATAATAGCAGAAACATATCGAAACAAGAAAAGTAATTACGGAAAATTTATATATATATATATATATATATATATATATATATATATATATATATATATATAGGTTGAGGTAAAGCCGTGCAATGCAGCCACCTGCTCCGCGGTCCCTAAATGATGGTATTTATAGGATACCAGTTTGTTTGTAAACTGAAAAAATCAGTAATAAATCATGAATTCTCTTGATTTAGATAACAGTTTCTCAATGAAAATAGCTCTTTTGAATAAATTGTCTACAGGTTATCAAACAATTTTATTTAGACTGGCTTTGTTTTGGCACTGGGGCACTTGTTTTGTCTGAAATTGATATTGAATATATAAAAATGTCAATTTTTAGCAATGTTCGAAGAACTGATTTAAGGTGACTCCCTAGAGATTTATCCCCGGGGCCCGGGGGTTATGTTTTTGTATATATGTAATCTATAGCGTGCAACTCGTACGACTTCAAAATACGAACAACGGTTGTGTTCTTTTTGAAACAAATACGAGAACTTAAAGTTAGTTCGTTCACTGCAACCAGGTATATCAATTATGTTTCGCTCGCTATACTTTGCAGGTTTAAATAAATGATTATCTTTAGTTAAAATTATAAAAAGAGTTCTAAAATTCACAACGATACTTGGACCTGATGTTTTACAAAAAGATAATGTAAATTTTTTTTGCAAGCGAAATTCTGGACGTTTTTGACCGCCGTAGGCGAGAGTCGCATCGCGAACATTGGGATATGATAAAAAGTTTCTTCAAGTATTTGCAGTGCTTTCTGTGTAATCTAACATCACTTAATTAATGAGCAATCTGCGAGTTAAATGGGCAGAATACATCGGACCATAGTATTAGCTTGCACGGGACGAATTTTGACATCAAATATTCATCAATCGTTGAAATTTTTCAAAATGATGCCAGCAAGTCATATAAGCAGTAATTTCCTTTGCCAATTTTACATTTAATAATCCACGCTTATAATTAGTTGATCATTAACCGACACAGCTAAACAGTATATGAAACAATTTTTATTTTTTTATTTTAAAAAAATCTTGCTTTGTTGTTTACGAAATGCGAGCGGCGAGACCCCACGCTTTCCCCTTTTCCTTCGGTAAATTTTTTTAAAACTTTGCACATTTCTTAATATCGGCTCGACAAATGCAATAAAGTTTTTTTAAGAACTTTAAAAAGTTCTATCAAAGGGAATAGTTTTAATATTAGTTTTAAAGGGAATAGTTAAGTTTCCCCAACAGCACCGCGAGGCACTGAGAAACACACCAAGTGATCAACTAACATCCCGTCACTCAAGGGACTCTTACAGCAACCCCATCAACCGAGATGCGAGAGCATTTGGAAACGATATGTCCACCCACCGCCACAGTTGCAAGCGACTTGGAGCACACTATGGTCCTCACCATCCGAGAACAAGGTGAAAGATTTTCTGTGGAGACTGACCCACCGTGTTCTGACTACGAAGAGCTACCTCAGAAAATGGGGAATGCAGGTAAACCCGACATGCCCATATTGCCAACATAGAGAAGATACACACAATGCCATTGTAAATTGCCGGAGAGCACAAGAATTGTGGAGTGATATTCAGCCATTGCTGACGGACATAGCCGGACAACCAATCAAGACAGACATGGAAACCCTCATCTTTTGTCGCAACCTCTCAAACGACGACCAAGCAAAAGAGATCTGTCATTATATTTTGGCAAAGGCAGCCGAAGCGTTATGGCACACCAGAAACAAGAAGGTGTACAACAGCAACTATCGACCGGGCAACATGAAGAACAAAGTAATTGGGGGTAATAAAACGAAGGATTCAGATGGACTTTTACTCTAAACCCAAACAGAATCGAACAATTCTGGGCATATAAAGGAAAGATAGTGTAAGTCACAAACGGACAGTTAACCTTTAAAATCTAGAACTTACCTCTGAAAAGTTGATATCTTTAAAAATCTAAAAAAAGGAAAAATAAGACAATCGTTAGTCACGGACAGTTCTAGCAAGAATCAGATACTTACCGTTAAATGAACGCTAGGGCTGACACCTAAAAAAGGAAAAGTGATATTAGTTATCGAACCATAAAATACCGTACTTACCTGTAAATAGATTTAAAAATCTAGAACTTACCTCTGAAAAGTTGACATCTTAGATAAAGACCAAAAACCTAAAAAAAGAAAATAAGGAAATCGTTGGTCACGGACAGTTATTTAAGCAAGAATCAGATACGTACCCAACCTCCGTCGCAGGGACTTTCCACCGGCTGGGAAAGACCCTGCTATCGGCTGGTCACGTGTCTCCCAGAATCTGGGAGATAACAAACAATTTCAATTAGGGTGGGTACGTAAGTACGTTTTGTCATTGAGCAAGGAGTGAGCGAAGAAATAACCCAGAAATCATGCAGGAAATATTTACAAAATTGTATATTTTATTTGTCATGAAGACTATCAATGTTACACAACAGTAAATATCAAATTTCATTGTGCGCAGAATG